GCTCCTCCTCGCTTAGCTCCGGCGGCTGGACCCACGACTCCAGGCCCAGGCCCAGGCCCAGGCTCCGCTAACAGGCCTAAGCTAGGGACGGCGCCGGCCTCCGGAGCCTGGCCTCGCCTCACAGCCCTCGGTGACCTCGGCCTGCACACCAAGAAGATCGTCCCCGGCCGCCGCCTCTACCGCGCATGCGCGTGCGCACGAGGACGCCACGTGCCTCGCCCACAAGTCTCTCACGTGCTTCAATCTTCCAGCGTTCCTTCTTTCTCAGCTAGGAAGAGGGTGTTTAGTAAACTCGAGTGCACACGCCTCTGGCCCACCCTCCCCGCCCCGGCTTCACAGAAGTGTAGACCTGTTCTCCGCGCGTGCGTCCTAGTGGGACGCGATTCTGTTTCCGCTTCCGGAAATAAGGCCTTGCAGAGTCCCCTCACGTGATGTGGAGTCGGGGAGGAGGAGCAAGCCTTGGTGGCGGGAGGGTGGAGGGAAGAAGAGAGGTCAGCGCGGACGTCAGAGTAGGGAGCGGAAGGTCAGGGCTGCTCGGAGCGGAAGTGAGACGGGGAGTCTGTCCGCCATTGTGGACCCAAGGAGCGGAGTGCAAGAGAGAGAAGAGGAACGAGCAAGCGGAAAGCAGGGGCCCCCCTCTCCGTCTCCGCAGTGCAAGCCTCCTTTCTTCCTGGCCTCGCAGCCAGCGGCGGCGATAGGGACAATCACTTGGCGGAAGGCGGCGGCCGACGGCTGGGAGTGCACGGGGAGAGGCCCAGGCGGCGGCGGCGGCGGCGGCATCAGCAGCAGCAGCTCTCGGGTTGCGGTGAAGAATGTCAGCCACTAGCGTGGATCAGGTGAGGAAGCTGCGGCCTCCGCCCGGCGAGGCCCCAAAGCCCGGGGTTCCACCCTCTAGTGGAGATCCGGTTTCTCTTCCCGGCTGCTGCCGGCCCCGTAACGGCGCAGCCCGCCCGCCGGGCTCCAGCAGCTGCCGGCGGTGCCGCAGCCCGGGGCCGGGGCCGGAGCCGGAGCCGGCTGGGGTGGAGGCGCGGGGCCCCAGCCGCACACAGAGGCAGTGCTCGCGCGGTCGGTGCTGAAATGGAGAGGACTGCTGGGCTGCAGGACTCGGCCGGGGGGACCCTCCGTAGAGACCCGGCGAGAGTTAGGAGATTGGTCAGGAGTGGTTGGTAGACGGCTTAAAGATGGTGGAAGGGTGGGGGATGGTGGGGTGTATTAATTCTACGCCAATTAGTTAAAAATAATTTGGGTTTGGTGATTTCTTTGATTAACACGCTTTTCCCCCTCCTTCCTCTCTCCCTCACTACAACCGTTCTTCATCTTGTTACACAGAGACCTAAAGGGCAAGGAAATAAAGGTGAGCGTGAATTGTTTTTTACCTAAATATTGTTTCCTATTGGGTGAATCTTGAGGCTGGAGTATTGGCTTATTTTTTTCCTTCTTTAAAACGTATACTTTAAATAGAAACGTACTAATCAAACTAAGGGCAGCTTTCATAAGTTCAGACGCTACCCAGGTTTTCAGCACTTTCCCGCCTTGCATTCCCTTTTTACAGAACAGATTTCCCAACCATATTCTTTTTTTTGTTTTGTAAGAGAAAGGTATTTATGGTCACATTGATAATTCTCAGTTGGTCAGTCATATATATGGTATTATGAAACTAAGCCACAAAGTTTCTGCACTTCATATGTAGACAAGTTTATTCTTGAAGTCGGTATCTTGTTCCACATCTCTAGATTAATTGGGGCACAGTTGTAGCCTACTTAACATTCAGCGTGATGTGTTAATGAAAATTGTTATGCTCTTAACCACAAATTGTACCAAAATCAGTTACTAAAACTCAGCAACATATGAGAAATCAAAATTCAAGTACCATGCCATCACTATATAATGGAATTTGTCTAGTGTGTGAATGAGTCTTTGGTCCATGATGAAAGTTTATTCTAATTTAGGAATATAGGAATAATTTATGACCTAATAAACTTATGTTATTGGTTATATGTATAAAGGGCATCCTGAAAGTCTGACAATATATATTCCTGGAGATAACTTTTTTCCTCTTAAAGGAATATTTTCTTTGCTTACAACGTGGTCCTGTGCAGTCAGCTGATGAAAACATGACAGTCATGTGACATGAAGTATGGAAAAATAACACTTTTAAAGGGAGGAGGATTCAGTAATCTTTTTTTAAAGTGAAAGCAAAACTTATCACTGACCTGGTATTGTAGGGTTTGAAATTATTCAACCTGAAAGGATTTTTCCTGTTCATTTTCTATTTTAATGGCAAATTTTATTCCACTCAGCTATCATATAAATTCAGTCTTCCTTATATTTATCTTGAAATATTATTTTGCACATCAGTATTTCAGACTTGGTTAATTCTGAACCATGGACCTGCCTTTGTTTAGTCATGTGGTTTTTTTCATCATACATTTTTGTACTAAACTTTTCTTAGTGTTAATTTTAGTATCAGTATTTTCATTTATATAAAATTCTAAAATATAATGTGTCCGTTTTTTGGAAGGAGAAATATCTTTTATCTGAACTTGTGTAGTGTATTGTGAATGATAAAATTGTCATCTGTGTTTAACATTATAATTTAATTTTCTGTTCCATTAAAAAACATTAGGACTTCCACAGCTATCTGAAGAGTATATGCATCCCTCCTGCACCCACACACCTCTTTTTTTTTCTTTTGCCCTCTTTCTCTCCCTTTCTCCTTTTTTCCCTGCCCTCTTTCATTCACATTCATTAGTTTTTGAGATTAAAATTCCATTTTACCAGTCTTCTTGCCAACTGGAAGACTGAAATTTGTATGTTTTTTTTTTTCCCCAAACTACTCACCTGATATAATTGATTCACATAAATGGGGAAGTGGTTGAGTTGCTAAATATTTTGTTTCCAGATTTAAGGTAAGTAAACAAATTCTAAAACGTGTATATATAGTTTTTCCTAGCATGGTGTTTTAAAAAGGATATCAACTATGTGCAGTGAATTTGATTTTTGACTTAGATGGAAAAGATGTCATAATGACAGTTTTGGTATCTTAGATTGAAATTATTTTTATGCTTCTAAATTGCGTTGTTTTTTTTTGACACTAGGAGTAAATATTTTTAATTACACTTGATTTTAATCTTTGAATGACACCTTTGTTCTTTAAAAACATAGAGGAAGCTTACTTGGGTAGTTCTTTATCCAAGAATTTTTCTTTCTTTCCCCCTTACTGTTCAGTTCATAGTCTCATCCATGGATAGAACGTTGGACTGGGAGTCCCAGGAGACCTGAGTTCTAATACTGGCTGTTGCTACTGACTTGCCAAGTGAGCTTGAACACATTTCACCTTTTGGTCAGAATTTTCCCTCCACCTGTAAAACGAAAATAGTAATACTAGCCATAAATCCCACTGGTATGTTATGAGGATTACTGTATTCACATCAAGTTTAGTCTGATCTTTGGATTCTGCTATATAAATCGGAAGGCACAATATGCCTGTCAGAAAACATGTTTCATGTCATCTATAAGAAAACAGAGTTCTTTATGTTTTGATTTCCTCTTCACCGCCTCACCTATAACTGTATTGCAACAATGATCTACAGTGAAAGAGGGAAAAATTGGATTGCCTGCAAAATAATGGAAATTAATTTTGAAAACTGCTTTAAAATTGATATGTAAGTAGTATATGTGCATCTCGCACACTTTTTATGTTTCTTCAGAGGGAGGAGTAAGAGGGAAATAACCTAGTTTAATACATATAAAATAGCAGCCATTTGTTGTATACGTACAGTAATTAAATAATGTTGGTAAAGTGCTTTGAGCTCCTCTGGTGATACAATTTTAGAATTTTTCCTCATATTAAACAAAATAATCATTAGTGATGGTGGGAAAAATCACCATTGGATATTCTTAAATGAGTGTAAATTGGAGAAACTGTACCCTAATTTTTAAAAAATTAAGCCATTTTATATAATTTTATGGATTAAAAGTGAAACTATCTTCAAATTATTTTTCAAAACATAATAATAGGTAGAAATTATAACAATTGATGGAAAATTTCCTGTGTTTATTGTCGATGTATCCTGCTCCGTATAATAGATGTGCTCCCGACAAGTTTGTGTAAATTGAATTTTCAAAAATAGAATAATTTCCCAGATCATGACAGAGATCCTTTGTCTTAATTTTTGATTAATCCTCAGTTCTCAGTGACTCCTTATATTTTTAGCATTGGGTTTCTCTATCTTAATTATTGTGTCAAGTGATAATCTGAATAGAACATAGTAATTTGTAGGAAAACATTTACATTCTGAAAGCTATTTGAAAGGAATTCCCTGCAATTCCTTTTCTAAAGCAAGAGTCTTTCTGATAATACCTATAATTACCTATAATTTGTTGTATATTTTGATTTTGTATTTTCTTAAACATTTTATACTTGTGTTAAGTTAGGACCTACCCTGGATTATCCTTGGTAAGATGAGAGTACAGATGTTTAATTGAAATTCAAGGATAAATATCAAGTGTTTGCTAATAATTGGAACCTACTTTGCCATGGAACTTTTTATCTGGTAATAAATAGCAAAATTGTATGATGATGCAAAGATCTACTGTCACTTTTCCTTGAAGGCAGTACTGATGATGCAAAAAGCAGGGGGGAAGGACCAAGTGTCACATTACTATTTAGAGTCTCAGGGCATACTTTTTTTTTTCTCTGCTGCAACTCTTCCATTGGTTTTATTGTTCTACAATTAGGCAAATACATATAGTCTCCTCCTCCCCCAACTAGATATATACATATGCATTTGTATAATTGTTGCTCTTTAAAAAACTAACCTGAATTCAGACAGGGGGTAAACCTTGTATTTGAATGATTCTTCCTCCCCTTCCAAAATAAAAAAAACAAATCAAAGCACTTTACTGTCATTATTTTTATTAATATTTCATTTTTATCAATCCTCAGAACATTCCTATGAGGAGATAGAGGGTATATGGTATTATCCCTGTTTTTGTAGGTGGGAAAACTTGATGCACAGATGTGTTGACTTTCCTAACTTCTTGGTGTAGTCAGGACCAGAACAAAGATCACCTGGCTCCTAAGACCCATGTTCTATCTTGATTTGACTCTGCTCCATAGAGCAGAGTAAGCAGGCGAAGGATCATGTAAGTCATCTGTTCTCTTTTCCTTGAAGAAGGTTTTCGGCACGGCGGGACTGTGTTGGATTTCATGACTATTTCATGGTCTGGAGCTTTGAGTCTCAAAATACCATATTGTGATAAGTGATATTCAAAAACTAAACAAAAGATTTAAAAACTAAGCCAAAAGACTGTTCTGGAAATATATTTTTAAAAAGATATATTCATATTAAGGGTTTTGATTTAACCTTAAATGACTCTGAGATTCACTGAAAAGTATAATTCATATTCTAATTTTATGTAAATTGCTTGTCAGTATGAGTAAATTACTTTTGATAAAACCTTTTCCTTCAGGCTGACATTCCTTGAGTAGTATTTTTAGATATTTGTAGACGTGTTTATGTATCATTTTAAGATCACCGATCGTATTCATATAAATTTGGAGGGGTAACTTTACAGTTTTGAAGATTGTTATTGTATGTAGAATATGCAATATGTCCAAAATTTCTACTGAGGAAGATGAAGAAATGGATCAAAACAGTGGGTTAGGAAATATTAAGGCTAATTTTGAGAAAAGTTTTCTGTACTTTAATGCTTAAATTCTAAACAGGTTTATGAGAGGTGTTGGAATATTATTCCCTGAGCACCGAAAATTATAGGAATTTATAATTTGCTTGAAACTTATATTTTTAAATGGTTATTGTTTCTTGGTGGTAGAAGAAGAGACAATACTTTCTGTATCGCTCTATGCAGTATTATCTAGATAAAAGACCTGTTTTTTTGTTTTGTTTTGTTTTTTGAAAGGTAATTAACTGGAGCTTAGCTAAAATCTTAAAATTAAAAAAAGAAAGTGACTAAAACTCATATACTGGAGAGATCCAGTCTTATGCAGATCTGATACCAGGAACAAAATTCAAGGAATCATCCCTTTTATTCCTGGTTTCCTGAACAGTTTTCAGTTTTGAACAACTCTAGATATAGCATAGCTTAGGTTCTATTGCTGATCTAAGCATAATTGGTTGAGCTATCTTGGTGTGGAGCAAGGATCACGTCAACCTTTTTATGTAAAATCCTTCTATATTGCTATGCTTCAAGAACATGAAGTAGTTAATGTTGCCAGGCATTCTTATTTGCCATCCTCAGAATAGCTCAAACTTTGTGTATTACCATCCTACTTGTTAGACACTGAGAAACCCTTCCATGAGATATTGATTATGTGTCACCCTCAAGTTTTATATAAACAAGATTCAGGGTAAAACCTGGTCAGCAGTTGGACTAATGTGGCAATAGTGTTGGACAAATTGTACCAGCCTGCTGGTTTTTAGTTTAGAGGAAATGTTGGTGCCGTGATATGCTCAATAAATAACCTGTTCTTATTTTTACTAGTAACTTGACTCTTAGCTGGACCAAGAGCTGGCAGTGTTCTAATTTTTTATGGTTTTAAACATTTGGCTTTATAAGCCAGACATTAGTAAGGGACACTAGTGTATAAAAGTAACCAGCTTAGTACCATTTGGTATAGGAGTAATTATTTTAGCAGTTTTTGATATCTTTGCTTATTAGTGTGAAATACTTTCTGAAACTAAGCTAAACCCCTTTGGGATATTTAGATTTTTTTTTAAATGCAGGAAAAAGTTTCTTTCACCAGTTTTATTTTTTAAATATTGTTTTCCCTGTTACTTTGGGTCTAGCTGAGTAATAACTTTAGACTAACCAGAGATAATGATACTTTATTTTTAGAAAGTTCTATTTTGTCTTGATTCAATTTCTGTGTGATTTTACTCGATGATTTCTGCTTTCTCTTAAAAAAAGACAAAACCGAACTTACTTAAAATAGATATTGAGGGATAACTTAGGTTTAAACATAATAATATAGTAGTGTGGTGGGGATATTTTTTTAGTAGTAATTTTATATGGTCATTTGTAAGGTGGGTCGTATTTCCTTTGGCTATATTATGTGTGTGTAAAATATACTTTGTTATTTGAGGAGGGCAGGGGACAGATTTCTGATTGTTTAGTCACAAAGTAAATAAATTTCTGTCACTTAAATACTTGTGTTTCAAAGTCTATTATTAATATGAATGCAACATAGATTTTTTTCTGAATTGTATCGAACAAGAATGAATACATTTGTTTGCTGTATGACTATCTTAAGATATTGATGGTGCTTTGTTAAAGTCATCAGTATCTTATCAATCTTACTTTTTTAGTTTCAGTACAAAATGGTTCGATTCATCAGAAAGATGCTGTGAATGATGATGATTTTGAGCCATACCTAAGTAGCCAGACAAATCAGGTAAGTGTGTACTCATTCCTGAAATGATAATCTGGAAGTCATCTGACATAATTTTTCTCTTTGTTATATAGAATGTAAACTTCTGTATACAGAACAATATACGTTAACTTTTTGAGATAATTTTTAAATGCAAGCAAGAACAAATTAATAAGTGAAAGTGTCTGTAGCATGAATTTAAAATTTTAGTTGTTGTGATCATGTAGGGCTGGATATTTTACCTTCTGTGTAAAGATGATTACTTCAAGAACTGTTTTCTTTTGGAAAATAAACTATGTAGACATATTTCAGATTCTAAGATCTGTTTTGGAGAAAAAGAGCAAAAGATGGGCTATCTACATCCTAGGTCTTTTTTTGGAAAGAGGAGGCTGAAATACAAGATACGATATTTTTTAATACACTTGGGCATCACTTCACAATAAAATAGAATGGAAAATTAAAACAATTTTTAGAAATTTCAGATGAAAAAATCTTATCTGCTCCTGGGTTTTCTGGATAATTACCATATTTTGTCACTTTGCTTTGACTGTAGAGATCCAACCCTAATATAGAAATTTTTGAAATATCTCATGCTTTTATTATTAATTATGACAGTACTTTTATTATTTGTTTTAGAAAAGTTTTTTTTTAATAATTGTAGTGACTTTTGAGAGTCATGAGTTTATTTTGTTCCCAACTGAAATATTTCTGTTAATCATTGATAATTTCATTGCTCAAAAATTGGTATGTTCATAGAATCTTAGAAATTTATGTTAGTCCATTTTAATAGAATATTTTAATGTTTCTATTTATTAAGACAAAAAGAAACTTTCTACAGTAAAAACATTTTGGGAAATGGTGTGAATGTGAAGTCAGTTGCCCAAATAACCCAATATTTAAAGCTTTTCATGTTCAATTGGCTTTTAATTTTATATGTGTGTGTGTGTGTGTGTGTATATATATATATATATATATATATATAAAAATATAATTTCTAACTCATTATATAGTGTGTTTCTTTTAAAAATGAAATTTGTTATAGTTTATAGTAGACTACAAAAATACACTTTTGATTTTAAAGAAAGGTAAACTAGTAGTCTACTTGGATAATAACTTCAATTACAATGAAAATAATTTAGATAAATTTTGCTTAATAAGAATTGATCTATTTTGCAATTGATTAAAATAGTTTGGGTTTAATAATTAGCACTTTGCATGCTTTATTTTAACTTTAACTTTATCTTAAAATTCAATTTTATTACATAAGCTGAAATGCAATTTTATTAAATTGATTGGGAAGTTGAAATTATATTTAACAATGACAGACATATTACTTGATACAGTAGGATAATTTTATGGAACAAACCCTGGACAAGGTAGAATAGCAGCTTTTTGTGCTTTTTTTGTAGACTTCTGGAAATTTGTCCACATTTCTTACCCACTTCTAGATAACATTTCTCACAGAAGAATTCTGATTGTAAAATAATCTCATTTATCTTAAGAGTATCAATAAAGTGCTCTGGTTAAAGAGAATTTCTAGATATGGATATGTCTAAGAAAGTAATGATGTATTTATTTGCTTTCTGGCCACAGCATGATTACCATAACACTTAAAGTTATATTGAAAAAATTATCTTCCCTTTGTTCAGAAGGCATTGTGGTGTCCCAGAGTAGTCATTTTTGAAACCTAGGAATATTAAATTTTTATTAAGGTTTTTTTGTTTATCATATCCCTGTCATTTTCTCAATAACTTCTCTCAGAGTTTTCCTTTTTAAGAAAGAGAAACAAGCAAAAATGGACATCAGTCATGTTTGACAGTATGTGCAGCATTATGCCTGTGTAGTTTACTCCCTCTATAGCAAGAAGAGGAAAATGTTTCACCAACCATTTGGATTCAACATAATTCAAATATAATAATTTCCAAATTGTTTTTGAATTGCTAAAATACTGGATTAGAAAGCTTTTACTGTCAGCTGGTACTTCTGCACAAATATAAGGTATTAGACATTTGTGAAATAAGAGTACAGTCTATTGGGTATCTTTAAAAGGTTTTCAAATGCAATGCAGTGAATCAATATCAGTATTGGATTTAAGTATCAATATGGAATTAAGTTGTTCTAATTGGCATTCTAGCAACAAACAGTGCCTTTGAATATTAAAACATGATGGTTAGTGATAAACTAATACAAAATCGTTCTAGCATTTACTATGCCCATATGAAAAGAGTGCAAAACATGTTTCATGTTGTTTTCTTCCATCTCTAATGAAGGGACATTTTGTATATATCACAGCAATATTAAAGAATATTTCCTCAATTTGTGTCCCATTCATGTTTATTTGTAGGCAGCTTGATAGATGTAAATTCTAATTGGATAGGACCTGGATTCTAGTCCTAATTCTGTTTAACTAAGCAATCTCTAAGGCTCTTCTGAAAATTTTGTTAGTAAGTGAATGTATAAGTATGTTAAGAGTTTTTTCTCAGATGTCTTTGTTCAGAGTTTTTTCTCAAATGTCTTTACTTTTGAAGTTAAGAATTTAAATTATTTCTCCCTTACTCCTCAATTTTAGTGTTTCTAAAAGCAATTGTTAAATAATCCCACTGTATTTAAAAATGTGCTCACCTGGTTATGTAGACTTTGCTTTGACTTGACTAGGAATGCAGTCTTCAAGTTTGTAAATATGGAAATGTTGCTGTTGCTTCATCTAAATGTTGCTTCATCTAAAGTATTGTAGAATGAGATTTTTTTCCCTCTTTTTCTTCAGAACACCATTGATGAGAATAAAAAGTTAACTTTGTCATTGTTCTAGAAATCTGTACTGAATGAGATCTCCCCCCCATAAGCCTATGAGCTTATCTTTTATTTGCTTATTATAGCCATTAATTTTTTTTCTGTGCTAGCTGTTTTGTTCCCTGGCCTTCAAATTCAGGAAATGATTCAAGATTTGGAAGTAGGATATAGTCAAACTAAGATTGTTGATTCTCATGTGTACTTTGTTCTGTTTGCAACTACTGGAATATTGTATTGGCATAAGAAGCTTATAGTGGGACTGTCAATATGTCTTATATTCTCTAAGAATATAACCCTCAGCTTTATCCCTGCTTTTAGGATAATTGTCCCTAAGGTTGTTAGCTAATGAACTTTTCTATGCTCATTAGTTTTTATCAAATTTATTCAGTTTTGTCCTTATCACATAATTTTTCTCACGTGACTTAAATATCAAAATTTTAATTTAGATTCAGAAGATTTCAAATGACCAATTAAAATTTAGTGAATCTGCACAATAAATTAGAGCCCTGCTTCTATTCAATCTAGTATTTTCCATGTTGCTTCTAAGTTTTCCTTTAAAGCAACTTAGACTTACTTTAAGTGCTGATATTCCTCAAAAACCCTACTATTTTTTTCTCAGCCATTTTGAATGAAAGACAGTCATCGTTTTTGGTTGATTAGTGTGAAATTGTAGTTTTTTCTAGTCATTTTTGAGTCCTGAATTTTAAGTAGATTGAAACATTTCACTATTAACCTAAATAAATTAAAAATTACTTCAACAAATGTTTGGGGATCTTTGGAGCCTTTAAAAATATCAGGGTGCGTCACCTTCATAGAATATTAGACCAGAAATCTTGAGATTTAAGTGTGAATCCCAGCTCTGTCTCTTTCTGCCTACCAGACTTTGGGACAAACCACTTGATCTTTCTAGGTCTCAGTTTCCTCATCTCTGAAATGAGGGTGTTAAATGAGATGATCAGTCTGTTAAGTTTCCCTTTTAACTTTTATCTATCTGAAATTTAAAGCTTAAAGGAGCATGGAAGGTACCTTCAAGGTCATCTGGTCCAATCCTCTCATTTTTCCATTGTGGACACAGATGCTTAAAGAGGTTAATTGACTTGCCCAATGTCACTGCTAATAAGTAGCAGAGTCAAAATTTGAACCTAGATCCTCATGAGTCCAAATCTAGGATTTTTGATTCTGTGCCACAGACTGTCTCATAGTTCCCTCATTTTAGGATTTTAAAGATTTGGAAACCTGAGATTTAGACACTAAGTGACTTGATCCAAGCTCATACAGCAGATCTATGATTATAATACTGATGTCTTGACTTAATCAAATGTGTTTTCTAATGCATCATAGTATATATCTTGAGTGCATGCAAGTCAGCATTTTGCAAATCAAATCATTTTAAATGCTCTGGGAGAGCTTGCTATTTAAAAGATCATTGTAGAAAATACTCTGGTAAAGGAGGTCTTAAAATGTGAATAATCCCTAATTTAGGGTAAGGGTAAGTTTTTATTTTTATATACAGATTGTTCTTGTTTTTCATAAATTCACATTGTTCAAATTTGACTTCTTGGGTAGCTTCAGGGACAAGAGTAGCCACCAGCAGGAGCACTGGTGCAGCCCCCAGCCAGGGGTCTTCTGTTGCAGGCACTGAAGCTGCTTGGGCTATAGGGTATAGATCTGCAAAGGAGGCCAGGCAACATGGTGCTCCACATAGGGAGGGGGAAGTCTGCAGAAGGGTCCACTTATCATGAACTGTCTGTACTGGGTATGTTAAAGTAGAGCATACCTCTTATGTATTTTTTGAAGTAGGATTGTTGAAATTTGTCTGCCTATGAATAAAAATACATTTCACTACTGATTTGTGGATTTTCTTTTTCAGAGTAACAGCTATCCACCAATGTCAGATCCATACATGCCTAGTTACTATGCTCCATCCATTGGATTTCCGTATTCTCTTGGTGAAGCAGCATGGTCCACAGCTGGAGACCCACCTATGCCATATTTGACAACCTATGGACAAATGAGCAATGGTGAACATCATTATATACCTGATGGTGTGTTTAGTCAACCTGGGGCTTTAGGAAATACTCCCCCATTCCTTGGTCAACATGGATTTAACTTTTTTCCTGGGAATGCAGATTTCTCTACATGGGGGACAAGTGGATCTCAGGGACAATCAACACAAAGTTCTGCTTATAGTAGTAGCTATGGTTATCCACCTAGCTCTCTTGGGAGAGCCATAACTGATGGACAGGCTGGATTTGGCAATGATACTTTGAGTAAGGTGCCTGGCATTAGTAGTATTGAGCAAGGCATGACTGGATTGAAAATTGGTGGTGATATGACAGCAGCTGTGACAAAAACTGTAGGTTCCGCTTTGAGCAATACAGGTATGACAAGCATTGCAGCAAATAGTGTACCCCCAGTTAGCAGTTCAGCACCAAAACCGACCTCTTGGGCTGCCATTGCCAGAAAGCCTGCCAAACCTCAACCGAAACTTAAACCTAAGGGTAATGTGGGAATTGGGGGACCTGCTGTACCACCACCTCCTATAAAGCATAACATGAATATTGGAACTTGGGATGACAAAGGGGCAGTGGTAAAAGCTCCACCCACCCAACCAGTTCTGCCTCCTCAGACTATAATCCAGCAGCCTCAGCCATTAATTCAACCACCACCATTGGTGCAAAGCCAACTGCCTCAACAGCAGCCTCAGCCGCCACAACCACAGCAGCAACAAGGACCTCAGCCACAGGCCCAGCCTCACCAAGTGCAGCAGCAGCAACCGCAGCAGCTGCAAAATCGTTGGGTAGCTCCTCGTAACAGAGGAGTAGGTTTCAACCAGAACAGTGGAGCCGGCAGTGAAAACTTTGGTTTAGGTGTTGTTCCTGTCAGCTCTTCACCATCTGGAGTAGAGGTACACCCAGTGCTGGAAAAACTAAAGGCCATAAATAACTATAATCCCAAAGACTTTGATTGGAACCTGAAGAATGGACGTGTGTTTATAATCAAAAGCTATTCTGAGGACGATATACATCGTTCTATTAAGTACTCTATCTGGTGTAGTACTGAACATGGTAATAAGCGTTTGGATGCAGCTTACCGTTCTCTGAATGGCAAAGGTCCACTCTATTTACTCTTCAGTGTGAATGGTAGTGGACACTTTTGTGGAGTGGCTGAGATGAAGTCTGTTGTGGACTACAATGCATATGCTGGAGTCTGGTCTCAGGATAAGTGGAAGGGCAAGTTTGATGTTAAATGGATCTTTGTCAAAGACGTTCCCAATAACCAGTTGCGGCACATTCGTTTGGAAAATAATGACAACAAACCAGTTACCAATTCAAGGGACACTCAAGAGGTACCCCTAGAAAAAGCTAAGCAAGTGCTTAAAATAATTGCTACTTTCAAGCATACCACCTCAATCTTTGATGACTTTGCACATTATGAAAAGCGTCAAGAGGAGGAGGAAGCCATGCGTAGGGTAAGATGACAATGAGTGCTATATTTAAAAAGTTTTTTTTACAGAATTCAGGATTTACTATTAAGATAGTTTAGTGATATTTATTTATTGATGACTGACGGTCATAATATGTAGCTCTTGCCCCCAAATTCATAAATAATTGTTTTTGAATTGTGCTGTTTGTGATGATTTGTGAAATAAAAGCTCTATATTCAATGTGATGGTTTAAATGAGCATACATATGTGTGCCACTTAAAGACAGAACAAACCCAACATTTGATAATCTATTTTCGAAAAGAACAATTGGAGAGATGGAGAATGGTTAGTGTTTAAAAAGTAATTATTTGGTTTACCAACAAATCATTTCAGGGTTCTTTGATAAATAGCTAGTGTTTAAAATTTTTAGTTGATAACAATATTTTTACATACAGCTTTCTTAGACTAATCTTCCTTTTCTTCCTCATTCTTGGCCATCATACTTGGCGACATCAGTACCTATCCTCTGAATCATGATCTGTCAGTTTCATCAATCCTCAATTCCTATGACCTCTGGCTTCACTTTACTTCAGCTCTACACAGGGGTGCTCACATATTAGACTTTACCATCATTTGAAACTACCTTCAAAATCCTAAACTCTGAAATTCTTCTTTCCACATAGACTCCTATCTTTCTGCTGTTTCTTTGTGCTCAACTTTTAATCTTCCCTATTCTCTTGTTCTATGGCTTCACTTCCTTCTTCTTTTATTAATCCCATAGCTATTGAAATAAAAAATTCTTATCCTTAAATCTTTTCTCCTTCCTGTCTTTCCATTCTTAGCTTTTTACTCTGGGACACTTCTGCCAAATACTTTTCTGTTCCTGTTATTTTGTACTACTGAAAGAAATCTCAGAATCTTACTGATTGGGATAACTGCAAATTCATGCTACTTAACTTCATTTGAGGCCCTTGCTTACTGCTTAGCCTTCCTTTTATTTATCCCATGAGTCAACCACATTCACAATCTAAATCACCACACTATTACTTCTGCAGACCTCCCACTCTTCACCCTGTCCACCCCCCACCCCCACCAAAACAAAAGGAAAAAGGAAAGGAAAAAAAAGACCTCATCTGACTGAAAAGGTTGAAACCATCTATGGCTTTATGATATAACTGAAAGATTGTTGAGTTGGGAGTCAGGAGATGCCTGGGTTTAAATCTCATTTTTGATATACACTAGCTATATGACCTTTAGCAAATCTCATGATTTCACTGTCCTAGTTTTTTCATCTGTAATTACCTCTCATACATACCTTAGAAGTTTTTGTGAGTATCAAATGAGATAATATAAATGACTTTGCTAACCTTAAAGTGATTTGTTATATAAATGCCAACTGTCATCATTAGCATCTCCTCCTAGCATCCATTCTTAAAGACCTTACTATGTCCTTACTCTTCCTCTCTTCTTTTGTTCAAATCTCCTTGTTATCACTTTGTTTTTGCCTTTGATCTGATCTCTCTAATGCATAGGAACGTGCTTCATTTTGATCATACCTTTGAGCTTGCATGCATGCACTGTCCCTCTCACAAGGAGCTCCTTCCTACAAATGTGCTCAGAACTTCCTATCTTTAAAAAACACATAAAACTTTTCCTTTTATTCCTTTAGACTAGGGCATCTTAATTTTTTGTATCCTAGATCCTTTGGCAATTTGGAGAATCCAGTGGACCCCTATATATTGTTGCATAGATTCATAATTGAAGGAAATAGTAAACTTCAACGAGAGATTAGTGAAAATAACGGTTTTTTGTTTTTTTTTTGTTCTAAATTCAGGGACCCCTTGAAATCTGTCCATGAGCTCCCAGGTTAATTCTCCTGTGTTACTTTTCTAGACTATTAGGCACTTGCTTTTGCTCCTCCCTTGGTTTTAAGTAAGTTGACAAACATTTTTTGAACCCCTTCTACATGTGTTTACACAGTGTCTTAGTGGGCTAAGTCCTGAAGATACAAAATGAATTGACCTTTGCCTTCAAGTAGTTTACATTCTGTCAGGGAAAACATACATACATAGACATACATAGATATATGTATATACACACATACAAGTGTGTTCAGAGTAGGGTTTTTAGCAATTGTGGGCAAAATAGGAAAGGGCTTCATTTTGAAAGTGGTCCTTGAGCTCAGTTTTGAAGGAAATGCTAACCTTTTTTGCTCACTTCTATGGCTTGCTCTATACAATTGAAACTCAAGTTTCTCTCCTCTGTTCCCTTTTTAGGGAACACTTGTGTTCACTAAGGTTCTCCCATGCAGAACACAGTAACATATGCTGTTCATCTCTCCTTCTTGGAAATCTTTTTTTTTTTTTTTTAATTTTATTGTTTTCATTTTAGGCAGTTGGGGTGACAATTGGGGTTAAGTGACTTGCCCAGGGTCACACAGCTAGTGTCAAGTGTTTGGTCAGAGGCCAGATTTGAACTCGGGTCCTCCTGTCTTCAGGGCCTGTGCTCTATCCACTGCACCACCTAGCTGCCCCAGGAAATCCTTTTCTTCAGGGCTCATGTTAGGTATCACCTCCACCAGGAGGCCTCACCAGATCATCTGCCTGACAACTGAATGTGAACTCTCGCTTCATGAATTTTCTGAGACCGTTTTGTGTTGCTTCATTACATTTTACCTCATCATCCTTTGTATATATGACCTGCTCCTTGAGGGCAAAGACTGTAATGTTTAATTTTCATTTTCGCCAGCCTCTTTGCACAGTGCCTGCATGTGGTATCACTTGTTAAATCATAAGGTCATAGATTTAGAGCTGGAAAGGATTCATGTAGTTCACCTCTTGCTGATGGTGAGGAAACTGTGGCCCAGAGAAGTGACTTGCCCAAGATCATGCAAATAGTAACATTAGAATTAGAACCCACAGCCTCTTATTCCAAAAATAGCATATTTTTCATTGTACCTTTTTGCCTCTTATTGACTATTATCTCTTGTACAATGAATGCATGTTTGTATTTAATGAATTTAATTCAGTAAGGGATTAGTGGAAACGTTTATAGAATATCAGGTAGAAGCAAATTATGTAACAAGTGATTTGTTGAAATTATGATATGTTGCATATTTATCTTTATACTTTGGAAACCTGGAAAACCAAAACAGTTTCCACTGAGTTTTTAATTGAATTTCCTTTTCCAAAATTTTCTGTTAGTGGAAATGGGAAAAGATTTATTAGTGTTAAAACATGTTAAAAATAAATTTATTCTCATTTTAATTGTTGAGTTTTTGATAATTATGATCATGAAAAACTTTATACCATTTAAGTATATTAAATATTTTTTTTGTATTATGCCTTTGTTTTTTAATTTTTTTTTCACAATCTGTAAGGACAAACTTAACTTTAAAATAGTTTTTATCTAAGTTACAGCTTCTGTAAAAATTATTGAGGATAGAAGGAGTCAAAACTTTACCGTTGGTGGTAGCATTAATTACAAGTGTTCTTATAGCTGACATTAACATAGCACTTTAAGTATCATCGCTATTTTACCTATGAGGAAATTGAATGACTTGTCCAAGGTAAAAAAGATAATGTCTGAGCTGGAATTTGAGGTCTTAGCACAAGCTCAGTGCTTTTCCCACTGTATAACTCTGTTTTTGATTTTCAGAGAACATGTGCAATTGCCTGGCTGTTATCACTCTATGAACCCTCTACTTGCCATGTAAATTTCCTGGAACCATTCTCTTCCTTTTCTCCTAGTACTCTATTTTCCTTTTGCTGAGAAGCTCCACCCGACCTGTGTCGTCCTGGCTTAATGAGGCTATAGGATCCTAGGCGGGAGGAGTAATACTTTTTCCATAAGATTTAGGGGTTCATTTGGCCTTTTTGGGTAAAGATCTGAGCCTAACCATTCGTTATTTATTATGCTGTTTTGGGGAAAGAAATATACTTGCAGTTCTAAACAGATAATTTAAAATACAGTAAAATAAGTAGACTTTCAGAATATAAACTATTTGTGAAGTAGAGACTGCTTATACGTTTTATATATTCCATTTCTTGGAAGTGTTTTATGTTTTTATTAAATTCTCACTGAATAGAGCTTTTTAATATATTCTGTATTCAATTTTATAGTTTTTCCAAGTTGAATTGAAAAATTGACATTATTATACATCCTCAGCATTTACCTTTTAATATTTATCATTTCTTACACAATGCAAAGTTATACTGTAGTTTCAAACTGTACCAAAGTATAATTCAGCCCAACATTTCAGTCATGAGTTACAAGGGAAAAGTTAGGTGGCTTATTAAATGACAGCCTTATACACATAGACTTTTCACCTTGCAAAATGGATCTAGCACAAATTGATCTTGTAGCTGAAAAATAATTTTCAAAATGTTACAGTTTCCCTTAATCCTTTTCTGAGTCTTTGCTTATAATCATATGTTATCTTTCTTTCCTGTGTGTAAAACCTAAAATTTTATTGTAAAGAAAGTTGTCTGAAGACCTTGGTTGCAATAATCAGTAAATAGAGAGGGAGGGGAAAAAGAGATAACATCCCTTCAGGGGAAGCGAAGATTTTCTGAAAGATTGGGTCTCTTGATAAAGGACAATTTTTAATGACCCTGTGACCCAAGAATAAAATATTAACAGCTTTCATGTCTATAAATTCCTTATGATTTACAATAAGACTTTTTCCATTTGGATTCTACATCTCTGTGACAATACCTGTTATCATATTGATACTTGAGTTTATGCTATAATAGTCATATAATGCAAGTTAGTGATGTGAGATTAACTATACAAAATTCACTGAAATTTTCTAATAGTACATCTCTCTCTATATTGAGTAGTAGCAGTGTTTTGCTTCAATTTCTTTTTCATTGCTATGTGCCTTACTTTAATAGTAGACACCTGCTCTGAGAATTCATGCAGAAATAGCTTTCTAAAGGGTGGTTTTCTCATTGGGCTTTCATATGTATTTTCCTGTTGTATTTTTCTTCCATCCCATCATAATGGAAAAATTCTTAATAAGAACATAAGAAATTTTTAAACCA